TCCTCGCCTCCGGTTGATGGAGACACAGACACGCACGCAGACACACACAGACACGGACACATGAGACACACAGGCGCACACAGAAGACACACAGGCACACACACAGACACACACACAGACACACACACAGACACACACATGAGACACACACAGACACACACAGGCACACACACATGACACACAGACACACACATGAGACACACAGGCTGCCTGGAGCAGCCATCTGTTGGGGCAAGTTGCGGAAGGGCGATCCGGGGAGCTCCGATGGCCAGGTAAGAGGAGATGATCTCCCAAGCGAACAGCAGAGGGCGGGTGGTGTCTGTGTGCAGGGCCGGAGGGCTGAACGATTACAGTTGTCCCTCACTATAACGCGGTTCACCTTTTTCCTGCGTACAGTATGAACGCGCATTGTGTTCGGCGTCCTGATTGGCTAAGGGAGAACCGCACACGTGTGTTCTGCGTCCTGATTGGCTAAGGGGGTACAGAATGCATTCGGCTAGCCAGATTTACAAAAATGTTTGGGCTTGAAAACAGGTTTTGATCTTTGGTTTCATTTACTAATGTTGTACTTATTTTTTTTTTGAAATCTGCCAAAAGTTTGAACTTCGAGAGTGTTTAAATAAGAGAGAAATGTGAGAAAATGCTAATGCCTGTCTGAGAAAAGTGTATACCCAGTGTGTGGTTAGGGGTTTTACGGCCTCAAAACATGTATACTAATTGTAAAAAAATAAAGCCGATTACTGCGCGGATTTGGTCTATTGCGGGTTATTTTTAGAACGCATCCCCCGCGATAAGCGAGGGACCACTGTAATCGATTTCAAAATCGATTAATCGCAATTTGAAACAATGCGATTAGCAAATCGCCAAGGCTGCGATTTCTTTCGCGATTTGACAAGTCCTCTTACCATCTCCATCGGAATTGTTTCATTTATTATTATCATTATTATAACTTTAGTTCTTTAACTTAACAATTGTTGCATGTTTGATTTGTTCATTTTAAGTTAAAACATTTTAATACATTTAGGAAGTAATTCATATTTTGATGGTTGCATGTGGTAACGCTCCATCACGTGTTTTAAATCTGTTACACACTGAATATTGACCTGAAGCTTGACTTCAAAAAGAATTTAATCGCAAATCGCAATATCTGTCGAATCGTTGAGCCCTATCGGGCGGTCCGTTATCCTGAAACGGTGACGGCTGTTTGTGCCCCAGGACAGATTCAGTGGGATTGGAAGGATGCCGCTTGGTGTTCCCACGTCTGTAACAAACTCCAAATATACAGCAGCAGCAGCAGCAGGCATCGTCAGGGTCGGGATCGAAGCCACAGCCTCCTGTACACCAGGCGAGGTAGTTAACATCTCATAGCCACCGTGATGATGACTATGATGAGAGAGAGAGACACACAAACTCCAAACATACAGCAGCAGCAGGCGTCGTCAGGGTCGGGATCGAAGCCACGGCTTCCTGCACACCACGCGAGGTAGTCAACATCTCCTAGCCACCGTGATGATGATGAGAGAGAGAGAGACACAAACTCCAAATATACAGCAGCAGGCATCGTCAGGGTCGGGATCGGACCCACGACCTCCTGTACACCAGGCGAGTTAGTCAACATCTAAGTATACAGCACACAACATACATGACAACATAGACACGACACAACACCAAATACACTACAACATAGACACACAGACACACCATAGACACACCACAGACACACACTACGACCTAGACACAACACACGACTTAGGCACAACACAGACACACACTGTGACTTAGACACACCACAGACACACACTACGACTTAGACACAACACAGACACACACTGCGACTTAGACACAACACAGACACACACTACGACTTAGACACAACACACGACTTAGACACAACACAGACACACACTACGACTTAGACACACCACAGACACACACTACGACTTAGACACACCACACACACACACTACGACTTAGACACAACAAAGACACACACTACGACTTAGACACAACACAGACACACACTACGACTTAGACACAACACACACTACTACTTAGACACAACACAGACACACACTACGACTTAGACACAACACACACTACGACTTAGACACAACACACACACTACGACTTAGACACAACACAGACACACACTACGACTTAAGACACAACACAGACACACACGACTTAGACACACCACAGACACACACTACGACTTAGACACACCACAGACACACACTACGACTTAGACACAACAAAGACACACACCAGACTTAGACACAACACAGACACACACTACGACTTAGACACAACACACACTACTACTTAGACACAACACAGACACACACTACGACTTAGACACACCACAGACACACACTAAGACTTAGACACAACACAGACACACACTACGACTTAGACACACCACAGACACACACTACGACTTAGACACACCACAGACACACACTACGACTTAGACACAACACAGACACACACTACGACTTAGACACAACACAAACACACACTACGACTTAGACACACCACAGACACACACTACGACTTAGACACACCACAGACACACACTACGACTTAGACACAACAAAGACACACACCAGACTTAGACACAACACAGACACACACTACGACTTAGACACAACACACACTACTACTTAGACACAACACAGACACACACTACGACTTAGACACACCACAGACACACACTAAGACTTAGACACAACACAGACACACACTACGACTTAGACACACCACAGACACACACTACGACTTAGACACAACACAGACACACACTACGACTTAGACACAACACAGACACACACGACTTAGACACACCACAGACACACACTACGACTTAGACACACCAGACACACACTAAGACTTAGACACAACACAGACACACACTACGACTTAGACACACCACAGACACACACTACGACTTAGACACAACACAGACACACACTACGACTTAAGACACAACACAGACACACACTACTACTTAGACACAACACAGACACACACTACGACTTAGACACACTACGACTTAGACACAGACTACGTCTTAGACACAACATGCACTACTACTTAGACACAACACAGACACACACTACTACTTAGACACAACACAGACACACACTACGACTTAGATACAACACAGACACAAACTACGACTTAGACACAACACAGAAACACACTACGACTTAGACACAACACAGACACACACACTACGACTTAGACACACCACAGACACACACTACGACTTAGACACACACTACGACTTAAGACACAACACAGACACACACTACGACTTAGACACAACACAGACACACACTACGACTTAGACACAACACAGACACACACTACGACTTAGACACAACACAGACACACACTGTGACTTCGACACAACACAGACACACACTACGACTTAGACACAACACAGACACACACTGCGACTTAGCCACAACACACACTACGACTTAAGACACAACACACACTACGACTTAGACACAACACAGACACACACTACGACTTAGACACAACACAGACACACACACTACGACTTAGACACAACACAGACACACACTACGACTTAGACACACCACAGACACACACTACGACTTAGACACAACACAGACACACACTACGACTTAGACACAACACAAACACACACTACGACTTAGACACAACACAGACACACACACTACGACTTAGACACACCACAGACACACACTACGACTTAGACACACACTACGACTTAAGACACAACACAGACACACACTACGACTTAGACACAACACAGACACACACTACGACTTAGACACAACACAGACACACACTACGACTTAGACACAACACAGACACACACTGTGACTTCGACACAACACAGACACACACTACGACTTAGACACAACACAGACACACACTGCGACTTAGCCACAACACACACTACGACTTAAGACACAACACACACTACGACTTAGACACAACACAGACACACACTACGACTTAGACACAACACAGACACACACACTACGACTTAGACACAACACAGACACACACTACGACTTAGACACAACACAGACACACACTACGACTTAGACACAACACAGACACACACACTACGACTTAGACACAACACAGAAACACACTACGACTTAGACACACCACAGACACACACTACGACTTAGACACAACACAAACACACACTACGACTTAGACACAACACAGACACACACACTACGACTTAGACACACCACAGACACACACTACGACTTAGACACACACTACGACTTAAGACACAACACAGACACACACTACGACTTAGACACAACACAGACACACACTACGACTTAGACACAACACAGACACACACTACGACTTAGACACAACACAGACACACACTGTGACTTCGACACAACACAGACACACACTACGACTTAGACACAACACAGACACACACTGCGACTTAGCCACAACACACACTACGACTTAAGACACAACACACACTACGACTTAGACACAACACAGACACACACTACGACTTAGACACAACACAGACACACACACTACGACTTAGACACAACACAGACACACACTACGACTTAGACACAACACAGACACACACTACGACTTAGACACAACACAGACACACACTACGACTTAGACACAACACAGACACACACTACGACTTAAGACACAGCACAGACACACACACTACGACTTAGACACAACACACACTACGACTTAGACACAACACACAGACACACACACTACGACTTAAGACACAACACACAACACACAACGCCGTGAGCCGCACTAGGCCGCGGCCTACCTCACGGGCCGCGGGCAAAAACCCGACCCCCGCCCCTCGACTGAATCCGCCGCGGGGACACCGCGCGCGCGGCCCCGCCGGACGCGCTCAGGCAAGCCGAGGCGGTAACGGGGTGGGTAGGCAAGTTGAAAAAAACAACAACCACCACCAACAAACTCACATCCTCCGTTGCTTCTCGAGCTCCGCTTGTCTCTCCTCCTCCTCCCGTTTGGCTCGGTCGTCTTGGAAGCTTCGCTTCGTCACGTTGCGTCCAAACTGGTCTACCCTCTCTGTACTCCTCCTCTCTGCAGTGGCCTTGCCGCCGCCACCACCACCACCGCCGCCGCCGCCGCCTCCACCACCACCACCGCCGCCGTCTCTGTCCCTCTCCTTGTCCCTGTCCCTCTCCCTGTCCCTGTCCCTCTCCCGGTCCCTGTCTCTGCTGCGACTCTTCGTTTTGGTTCGCCTGCTACTGCTACTGCCTCCACCACCACCACCTCCACCTCCTCTGCCATCGCCTCCACCGCTACCTCGTACGCCGCCGCCGCCGCTGCTGCTACCACCACCACCTCCTCCTTCTGCTCCACCACCTCGTTTTCCACCACCACCACCACCTCCTCCACCACCTCCTCGGTCTTTCGAGCGAGATCTACGCCGTGATGATCGCTTGCCTCGGCCGTGGCGGCTGCGGGAGCGCGACGAGCTGCGGCTTCGTGAGCGACCCATCCCGTCGCTCTGAGAGCCTCCAACACCACCAACGCCGCCGCTACAGCCTCACTCACTCACCACCACCTCACTCACCACAGCCTCACTCACTCACTCACCACCTCACTCACTCACCACCACCACAGCCTCACTCACCACAGCCTCACTCACCACAGCCTCACTCACTCACCACCACCGCTACAGCCTCACCACCTCACTCACTCACCACCGCAGTCTCACTCACTCACCACCACCACCACAGCCTCACTCACTCACCACCTCACTCACCACAGCCTCCACCACCACCACCACAGCCTCACTCACTCACCACAGCCTCCACCACCACCACAGCCTCACGCACTCACCACAGCCTCCACCACCACCACCGCCTCACTCACCACAGCCTCACACTCACTCACCACAGCCTCACACTCACTCACCACAGCCTCACACTCACCACCACAGCCTCACACTCACTCACCACCACAGCCTCACACTCACTCACTCACCACAGCCTCACTCACCACCACAGCCTCACACCCACCACCACCGGAGGCTTTGCCCGTCCGCCTTTGTCTCCCCAACGTGTTACCACCCAGCAGCAGCAGCAACCACAACCACCCAGCAACAACCACAACCACCACCACCACGAACCAATCTCCCCACGTGTTCTGTCCGCGGTGCTATGCACTACCACCCCGCCCCCCTACCGTAACGAATATCAAGCGCCCAGCCGGCTACCCTTTGCGTCTTTAAATGATCGTCGTCGTTTATTTTGTTAAAGTAATCGTGGCTAAAGGAGGGGGGGCACCGTGAATGGGACGACGATCTTTAACAAACACAATTTTAGTAGGCCAAATTTCGAGAATAAAATAGTGCGGTGAGCGCTGCGGTGCTAAGGCAGTCGTCGTGTTATCATGGCTGCTCCCTCCTCTCCCATCGCTTCCTTCTCCTCTCTCCACCACCACCAACAACCACCACAACCAACAACCACCACAGCCAACAACAACCACCAGCACCACCAGCACCCGGACGCGAACCGAGACGCGCAGACGTCGCGTGGCGGAGGGGGGGGGTGAGTTTGAGGCGGTGATGCGGCGGTGATGATGGGGGCAGGGGGAAACAAAAACCCCTCCGCGTTAAGATGGAGGGCAGTGATCCGCCCATCACCCCTCCCCACCACCACCAGCAAACCACGCCCACCCCGCGTGGCACTGCACTACACAGAGTGACACTGCACTACACTGCACTACACAGGGTGACACTGCACTACACTGCACTACACAGGGTGACACTGCACTACACTGCACTACACAGGGTGACACTGCACTACACTGCACTATACAGGGTGGCACTCCACTACACTGCACTACACAGGGTGACACTGCACTACACTGCACTACACAGGGTGACACTGCACTACACTGGACTACACAGGGTGGCACTGCACTACACTGCACTATACAGGGTGGCACTCCACTACACTGCACTACACAGGGTGGCACTGCACTACACTGCACTATACAGGGTGGCACTCCACTACACTGCACTACACAGGGTGACACTGCACTACACTGCACTACACAGGGTGACACTGCACTACACTGCACTATACAGGGTGACACTGCACTACACTGCACTACACAGGGTGACACTGCACTACACTGCACTATACAGGGTGACACTGCACTACACTGCACTATACAGGGTGACACTGCACTACACTGCACTACACAGGGTGACACTGCACTACACTGCACTACACAGGGTGACACTGCACTACACTGCACTACACAGAGTGACACTGCACTACACTGGACTACACAGGGTGGCACTGCACTACACTGCACTACACTGGGTGACACTGCACTACACTGCACTACACTGCACTACACAGGGTGGCACTGCACTGCACAGGGTGACACTGCACTACACTGCACTACACAGGGTGGCACTGCACTACACTGCACTACACAGGGTGACACTGCACTACACTGCACTACACAGGGTGACACTGCACTACACTGCACTATACAGGGTGACACTGCACTACACTGCACTACACTGCACTATACTGTGTGACACTGCACTACACTGCACTACACAGGGTGACACTGCACTACACTGCACTATACAGGGTGACACTGCACTACACTGCACTATACTGTGTGACACTGCACTACACTGCACTACACAGGGTGGCACTGCACTACACTGCACTACACAGGGTGACACTGCACTATACTGCACTACACAGGGTGGCACTGCACTACACAGGGTGACACTGCACTACACTGCACTACACAGGGTGGCACTGCACTACACTGCACTATACAGGGTGGCACTGCACTACACTGCACTACACAGGGCGGCACTGCACTACACTGCACTATACAGGGTGACACTGCGCTACACTGCACTACACAGGGTGACACTGCACTACACTGCACTACACAGGGTGACACTGTACTACACTGCACTACACAGGGTGACACTGCACTACACTGCACTACACAGGGTGGCACTGCACTATACTGCACTACACAGGGTGGCACTGCACTACACAGGGTGACACTGCACTACACTGGGTGGCACTGCACTACACTGCACTACACAGGGTGACACTGCACTACACTGCACTACACAGGGTGGCACTGCACTACACTGCACTACACAGGGTGGCACTGCACTACACTGCACTACACAGGGTGGCACTGCACTACACTGCACTACACAGGGTGGCACTGCACTACACTGGATGACACTGCTGCGCCGCACTGCACTACACACTCTACTATACACTACACTATACACTACACTTACTACACGCTACACTACACTATGCACTACACTTACTACACACCACACTACACACTATACTATACACTATACTATACACTACACTTACTACACGATACCATAAAGTACACTACACTATACACTACAATATAATATACACTACACTATACACTGCAGTATACACTATCCTATAGACTACACTATACACTACATTATACACTACACTATACCATACCAGTGAACTCCTTATCAGTGTCCAACCTTATTACGGACCAATTAAGACCGTACTGGTCACCCCCGTGCCCTTATAAATCTCAAAGTTCATCCTACAAAGTCCCATCACAAGGGGGAAACACAAACAAATATAAAAAAAAAATATTGCATGTGTTGAGGTGCAAATGACGACTCGGTGGCCGATCTTCGTGTAAGGGCTTACGTCTGTTATTTATTAAGGGTTTAGGTAACTTCCCCAGGGGTAGGGGTTCTACACTAGGTCCTTCACCCGGACCTTCACTCTGTCTGTTCCTTAGCTCGGCTAGCTCCAGGGATCTCTCCCTCGAGTCGGGTCGGGGGATCAGCCAACACCGACCGACCGGGGAGAGCAGCCACTTCATATCGCTACCGCCGGCCTCTCTCCAGACTCCTTGAGCCCTACCCCGGGCTGGCTCTTCAACCGTTCACCTTGCCGGGCTCCCACAGTCACCCCGCTTTCGTCACGGGGTCCCCCCTAAGTTCCGAGGGGAGACACGACGTCATCGCCCCGCCCAGCGCGCGTGACGTCGCTTCCCATGCCGTCATCGCACCGGAAGGCGCGCGTGACGTAACGTGCCCGTACTACTCCTCTACATTACCCCCCCCCCCCCACCCCGTGAAAAAAAAATCAGCCGACCCGGCTGTGAACAATACGAAAGCGGAGCCCGGCAACCCGGACAGGAAGACATTAACAGAACACCTGAGCCAGGACCGCCCCAATGCCCATGAAGCTGGCGCCGGTGTCCAGAAGAAAGGGTTTGGAAAAGTCAGGGTAACCCAAGGGCGGCGCACCCGCCAAGGATGTGCGAAGCGCAACAAAGGCGGCTTCCTCCTCTACGCCCCAGCGAAACTTTCGGCCTTTGGCGGAGAGCGCGTGCAGTGGCTTCGCTACCGTCGCAAAATTGCGCACAAAACCGGCGACAGCACGACGCCAAGCCGACAAAGCTACGCACCTCAGCGACGAGACGTGGGAGTCGGCCACGTCCGGACACAAGCTGTCTTTTCCGGATCCATGGCGGCACCTGACGCACTAAACAATACGTTAACAAATGCTTCACCGATGTTTGTAACAAATGACATTTCTGGGGTTTAAATTTCAAGCCCGCGGCGCACACTTTGACGAACATCGACTCAAGACGTTGCAAGTGCCCGTCAAACGCACGGCCGAAGACAATAACGTAGTCCAAGTAAATCAAACAAGACTGCCACTGCAGCCCCGCCAAGACCATCTCCATGAGACGCTGGAAGGTGGCCGGGGCCGAATGGAGACCCATAGGAAGCTGATTAAATTGGAACAGCCCCTGGGGTGTGCGGAACGCTGTCTTGGGTCTAGAGGCCTCGTCGAGTGGCAATTGCCAGAAAGCCTGAGGGCAAGTCTAGGGTCGGAAAGAACGGCGCACCCGAGAGGGCGTCCAGGGAATCGTCCATGCGAGGCAATGGATATGCTTCAGCCACCGAGATCTTCTTTAATTTACGGAAATCGATGCAGAACCGGAGACTCCCATCCCGTTTCTTGACGAGCACAATGGGGGCACCCCAAGGGCTAGCGGATGGGGAGATAATGTCCGCTGGCAACATCTCGTCGACGGCCAAGTGGACATGATCTTATTCCGCCGGGCTGAAGCGGTGCGAATTTAGCCGAGTAGGGGGCGAATCGCCCGTGTCTATGTGATGTCCCAAAAGAGTCGTGCGACCGATATCGAATTTACTCTGACTGAACACATCGGTGAACCTCTCGATGAGTGTGCGGAGCCGCTGGCGCTCCTCGGAGGACAACAAGACACTCTCGTGACGCGGCACATCGATCCCACGACGCGTCGGTCCCCCCATCGTGCATCACCACCCGCCACAACACTTCCAGCCGGCCTGGCGTCAACGGGTGGAGGAAGCCGGGGTTGCGTGCGCCAAAACGGTGCCGGCCGGAACCACGAACGGCGAAGGCCCCGAATTGAGGACCTGCAAAAAGGGGTCCTGGTCTCCTGACATGGCCGTCAAGGCGCCTACCAACCCGGTCGACCTTGTAAAGTAATTGGAGGGAGACTAAAGGATGCCCGTCTCCGGGGGGGGGGGGGGTCTGCACAGCCTGAGGGGTAGCAGAATTTTTGTGACC